AATGAATTTCACCTGTTCCTTATTACTTTTTAAATGTGACTATGAGAATTGTCAGAGCCCATATGTTGCTCTCATTATGTCTGCTGGGCAGCACTAATCCAGCGGATTTTGAGAGCTTCTGCTATCTATGGCAGCTGAAGAAAGATGCTAAGATTTCCAGTGTTCCCTGGGCTTGGTTCATCTTTGACATTCATTGGCTCTGTGACTTGGGCAGATTTCTTTACTTCTCTGGGCCTCAATTTCCTGAGTTTTTCTTTTTTTTTTTAATATATATTTTTTAATTTTTTACATCATTGTTCATTTTTAAACAATATTTGCTTCCCCCCCCTCAGGTGTTGTCCCCATAGAGTTTCCTTCCCCAAGGCACCCGTGCACCATCACCTCAGTCCCCTGGGCTCCTCCCTCCCTCCCTCTGATCCCTCTCCCACCTCCTCCCCTGCAGGATGTCTCTGATATATAATTGTCCATTTTTGTTTTGTTGTGCTTTGTACTGTTATTATTTTTTTACACTGATGTCTTATTGGGTTCCCCTATATTTAAAAAAAAAATCTGAGTTTTAAAAGGGAAGGTTGACCAGATAGGGTGACCTAGGAGGTGTTCCCATTGTAACTTTCTGTTGTGTTGAATGTCAGTGCCATCTCTCCGGAGACCTTAAAGAAAGGATGCATTTTCCCAGCTGACTTTAAAGATTGGGTCACCGTGGCAAGAGGGAGCAGAAGAGCTGTAGAGACTCCAGGCTTTGTGATTGGCCTGGATTGCCTTGCACCTTCCCTTCATAATCATCCTAGAAGATTCACTCCATCCCCCAAAGATGGCGCCCAGTGAACTCTGACCTGTCCACCTTGGTTACCGCATTCCACTTGGACAGGCTGAACAGCACCTGGGGAGGGGCATACCTGTCCCGTCCTTTAACCCATGGTGATGTGTCACTGATCAGCACAATTGGCTCTAATAGCTCCCCAGGTGGATTCCAGAGAGCAATGAGCCGAACATAAAAATCCCTTTATTATTGCCATTTCACTTTTATATACCCATCAAGCTTTCATATTTAATCTCCTACATCACAATAGCTGATCATTTTTAACATTTGACATTGATAGAGTGCCCACTGCTATTATTCTGACATACTATAAAACATTACACCCATTTGCAATAGAAAAGGCCAAGAATCAATACCCAGCCCCATTTTCCACTGTGGCCGTAAATCACGAAGCACCTAACAAATTGGTTTAAGTAGAAGAAACTTCAGAACCAATGACTGGCCTGACCAATCCCCACCCCCAGTTAGGACTGACAGGGACCTGGACGTCAGGGGGTTGGGGGCTGAAGATGGGGGCGCTGGGAGAGCTGCTGCACAGCCAGGCTGCTCCATATAACAACAAGGATTTTTTCAGGAAAAAGAGTTGTCTCTCTGCATTGTCCATGCTGCAGAAATACCATGGCGAGTAAAGGACATCTTCATTCCGCCTGTGTTTGCCTCAGCCCTTACCTTTCAGCAGGTGGCCCCACATCGGGAAGCTGGTGACTTCCCTACTTCCTGCCCCATCTTCCTACAGGCTCCCGGACCCATCATCAGGATTATCGCTCTGCTTTGTAAGTTAGCCCATTCATTGGAAGAGCCAGATCTTAAACTGAATTGATTAGCTATTTAATCAAATAGACCTTAGGATTAATTAATTGATCATTTCTGCTCAAAATGACCCAAGCTAGGAGTTAAAGAAAGATACGAGGTTAGGCTTAAAGTGTTTAGTAAGGTCATGGGTTGGGCTAAATATTCTGTCATTATCCTTGTATATGAAGTGAATGATATTTTCAAAATGCAGAAGTTTAGAATATTCAGAAAGTTTCCCCCTTTCTTATTCTTTGGGTATCATCTATATTCAGCCTAAGGCTGTGCTGTTTTTGTGGGATGCCACCAAAAGCTACTTCAACCCAGGCTGCCTGGTTGAAAATGCATGCAGCTGCTGGACTGTTCTGACAGTGCAAGGACCCCAGTTCTGGGGGAAAGGAAAGGGCTAGTGGCTTTGTTGTCAATTTATTTTCAGTGAACAACTGGATTTCCTATGGAAGTCTGGTATGCATGTATACACATTTATCTGACTTTCTGCAATAGGTATCCTCCTGGAAAGTGACATATAAACCAGATTTTTTAGAACAAATTCCTTTTCTTGTTAACTTATTTTATCATGTCAGAGATTATTTGCCTGCATTTCAGTTAGCAATGAGTGATTTTTTACATTATTTGTCTTATTCAACCTCCTAATGATCCTAAGGAAAATGAGTTTTTGTAAAAAGGAATTCTCCGCTAAAGGAGCACTTTCTGGTGCCATGTGGCATAGATCCTAGTTATTCTGTTTTGCACCTTTGGAATGACAGGTGGGTGGTCACTGGGTTCAGATCTGGTTTTCTGGACGCTTGGTGTAATATGAAGAACATTAGCATCGGGAGTCAGATCCTGCCATTTTCCAGTTGGGTGATTATAGGGTGGAGAAGATATATGACCTCTTTATACATTCATTTTTTCATTTGTAAAGTGGGGATAATAATTCCCTATCTCTTTCATAAAATCCTTAATGAGGAAATGAGATAATGCAAGTAAAAGCATTTACTATTATTGTCATTACTGATAATGCAATAATAATAAAGTACAATAAGAGAAGAATCAAGACAAACCATTCTTATATCAAGTTCCATTTTATGCCAGTGGGAACAAAGTTTGATTCATTCAAAACTAACTTCACAGAAAGCACAAAAATAGTCAAATGTAGGTTTCTCAATTTTGTGCCATGAGAATTGAATACCAGAAAGACCATCAGGATCCTAGACACCTCTGAATCTTAAAAAATAATATATATTTTTTGCCCTGGAGTGCATTTGGATATATTTTAATACATTTATTTATTCAACAAGCATTAATTGTATGCCTACTCTGTGCTCCAACCTGAACATATAATAAAAACAGATAAGATAGGGGCCCATGTGGATTGTCCATTAACATCTTAACTTTCCGGTGCATCAAGGTTACTTCCTAGGCCCTACTTGAAAGCTTCAAAACCAGAGTTTCTCACAGTAGAAACTGGGTGTCTGTATTTTGACACATTTCCCAGGTAGTTCCAATGTGTGGCCCCACTGTGCTATTTGGTCATACTCTGTGAGCAAGAAAACACCATTACCAGGGAACACCTTCTGTCTGTGGTTTCTAGAGGGCAAACTGTGGCAGTTATGTTGAGAATCTAGATTTCTGGCTTTCCTAAAGTCGGAACACTCTTAGTGCCTAACCCTGCAGGGCTGCAGAAATGGGCCAAGTTCTTTGATCTCACCTATAGTTCTGCTGCTGACTTGCTCCGAAATAACCTGGTGTGTTTGACATCCATTGCAGGCCTCTTGTCTGTGAACCCAGAGTCTCATTGTCCCTTTCATCCCTGAGCAGGATGGTTCTCTTTGGAGTATCTCTATCTGGAGTGTGAGGAAAGGGAAAGGGAAGCAGAGTTGTGTAAGTCAGCTCTGGGTGACTTGGCCATGCTGTGTGCAGAGCGATAGCTGTGCTCCAAGTACCGCTCACTTTTGTGGTGTCTCCCAAGGAACTTCTCCAGCACGGTGTCCCTCAGCATCTCATGTGAGACTCTCAGTAACCCTATGGAGGACCTCGGGTAGGTGCTACAGCTTCCGCTTGCTGCACGCTGATGCTCGAGACCGCATCCCCAAGCCAAGCTGCCGCGAGTCCTCCAGGGCAGAAATCACCTCAGCACGTTGCTAGGTCCATGGAAGAGTATTGAAAATATGGTATACATTAAATGAGTGAGAATCAACATGGAAGGAAGGGAAGGGAACAGAGAGGAGAGGAGGGGAGGGGAGGGGAAGGGAGGGGAGAGAAGATAAAGGATCATTAAGAACTGGGCTCGCTTCAGTCCCTCTTCTGATGCCACCCCTGGCTTCACCAAAGACAGCGGACCTGATCTGTGGCCCCTCTGCTGAGGTCTTTTCATTTTCAACAATTGTGCTGTTTTTAAGGTCTCCAGACTCTTCGACAATCCTCTTGGCGTGGGCCTTGAGTGGCCCTGACGCGGGTGCTGGTCCTTTGGCCCGAGCCTTGGTGAGGTTTGGCGTGCAAACCTTTATTTTGCTTTGTGGTCTCGCCTTCCCTGAATGGAGAGTTATTCTTGGCTTGTACCTGCTCCTGCTGATTTTGCAATATCATGATTTTAGCTCAATGAAAATGTATCTTATTCCCACAGAGCTGCCAGGGCCCTTTGATGGAAGCTGATTTGGGTGAGAGGAGCCTGGAGGCAAGACAATGGTAGAGTCTCCCAAACAGGAAGGTCTTGGAGGGAAAGCACTGTGTGCTCCTCTCCGCCTCCCGCTTCTGTGGACATGCTCAGTCCAGCCCAGTGAGAACCCCCAGAGAGCCCCCCACCCCCCAGCCAGGAGCTTTGACTTGGTATTCAAGTCCATTTCTGGAGCCTAAATAGAAGTACCCTTCCTTCTTGCTCGATCCTTGGTGGATTTGGAGAACCTACACTTTATATCAGCTCAGGACGCCAGAAAACACAACCAAGCAAACCTCTGAAGTCTCTTTCCTGAGAAGGCTAGAGGAGAAATAGGAAATCCTGGTCCCTGAGGGCTTGCCCAGAGGCAGGGACTGGAGCTGATGGACTTGTGCACAACTTTGGGTATATGGAGACTTCTGGGACAGAAATCCATTTCTAGCAGTGAGTTCAGAAGGCGGGAGCCCCAAATCCTGTCCTGCTGAATAAGGCGGACCAGTAAGGAACAGCCATGGAGTCGCCTAGACCTTATTACAGAAAAGGCAAGGGGCCAGACGGTACTGAATATTCTGGTTTTCAGGCCCATTAGGGTGCCCCAATCTGCTCTCGGTTCCTCCTGCCACTCAACCCAGGTGGCCGGGACCCAGGCCGCCTTGTGGGTCGTCAGAAGTGACCCTTTGATATCTGATCTCCCATCTGCTGGGCTAGGCATGTGGACGAGACAGCTGGCACAGCCCCTCCCGGGGGACTGCAATTAGGGGATATTTAATCCTGTCACCTGGTTCATTTGCAGTGATGGATTTGGACTAGAGAGCTGAGTGGCGCCAAGAGGATATTGGATTACCAGGGCCCATCCCCTTCACCCCTCAAAGAGAGCTGTCCTGCCCCTGCCCAGCACCTGCCTTCCCTGGCCCCAAGGTGAGTCGCCTGGCTGCCAGGAATTAAGAGTAAGTACTGGCTGTCAAATCCCTGGCCTGGGATATTTTACCTGAAACTTCCTGCAGCTATGAAAACATTGATAAGATTTTCAGCTCCCCGTGATCTCTGTCCTCTGCAGTACTTCAAGGTTCTAAGCTACAGATTTTGGATCTTGAGTGGCTATCCGGTCAATCATGCCGTTTTCACTTTCCAGACTCCTAGTTTTGGGAAACTTGGTTTAATGGGGAGAAGGCCTTCTTCTGAATCAAGGTGCTGGTCTGATTTAGCTAACTGTCCCTCTTCACATTAGCCATGCACACTGGAAGGGGAAAAGATTTGAGACCCAAATCTGGATTGCAAGGTTTTTATCAAATCACTTCCCCTTTCAGGAGAATCTCAGTTCACTCATTTATAAACCGAGCAGATTGGATTAGCTTCTCTAAGTTACCTTGATCAAACATTCTGCTTGTGGAGAAAAGTTGGACGAAGTCATAGGGTGAAGTGTTTGGGCTAATGGAAAATTCCCAGGGGTGAAATCTATGAATAGACCAAAAAACCAGGTGCTTATGAGGTAGAATTTCATTGTAGAAGAGACACTGGTTATTGGGAGTAATTAGAGATGATCTTGGCGACTCTGGTGATAGACTTTTGAGCCATCGTCCATCCACTCGTCACCAACCTGGCTTTTTAAGGAACATGCAGAAAGAAGTAGCCTCAACTCTTTGGGGTTTCCAGTTCAACATATCTTAAAGTGATCTATGAGGATGATGGGTAATGTCTCCACATGCTAGACTCCATGTGTCAGGAGGGGTAGATGGTTTAGGGTCATCCAGGAGCCTCACTACTCTTCATGCCTTGCACAGCTGCCACCTCCATCAGCACAAAATGGATCCGAAGTATTCTCCCTAGGATCACATCATCCCTCTGCTTCCAGCAGTTCAACGACTTCCTATTGCACTCTGAATAAAATCCCAGTTATCACCATAGGTCTTGAAACTTGTGTGATCTGGCCTTTTCTGTCTTCCCCCACACTTTTACTCCCTCTGCTTTGTCTAGCATAGGCGCACATGTATGTGTGAATCAGCCCATACACACACCTCGGGGTCTCCAAATTTGTTCCTGCCTCCACTTCAGCACTGGCTGTTTTCTCTGACTGGGATGCCCTCTCCTTGGTTCTTTTTTTTTTTTTTTTAAGATTTATTTATTTATTTATACAAGCACTGGGTATAGTCAAAAGTGTGGGAGGGTGAGAGAATTCACCAGAGCCAGAGCAGGGAACAGAACAGGCAGACTGAAGAAACACTGCTGAGGGGAGCAGCGGGCGTCAGGAGAGGTCTGCGCACCATGTGGGACCCTCGCCGGGGGCTGGGATTGAACCGGCGCTGCAGAGGCTGCGGGCATCTTCGCAGCCCAGTGCTCAACCGCTGCGCCACCAGGGGAGGCCCTCCTTGGTTCTTTATATGGCTGCTTCCACATTATTCTTTAGCTCTTGGCTCAAATAATCACACCTACAGGGAGGTCTTCCCCATCTGACCTCTCTCTATGACATAATTATTTTTAATAGTATTTATATATTAGCTTATATAAAAACAACTTGTTGATTTTCTTTCTTCTCTCACTTAGATATAATCTCCATTGAAAAAACAGTGAGCCTTTTTCTCCTGCTTGTAGGTTTATTCCCAGCACCTAGAATAATAGCTACCATGTCATAGCAGCACGGTAAATACTTGTGAAATCAATGAACACAAATACACATTGTCGGGTGAGCTCTCGGGCCATCTCTCTGGATCCTGTTTGAGGAGAGCAGATTGTGAGCTGGGAAGAAAATTGCCTTATCACCCACCCCACACAATCACCCCGATAGCAGGGACCTGCGCTCTCCACCTCCAACCTTGAGTGAGATAAACCACTGTCACCCTGGCTCTGCCTTCTGCCAACCTACTCAAATGTCCTGTTCCCAAGATGATCAAAGGCATTGGAAAACATCTTTGTTCTGTGGAACAAAGAATCATAATTGAACGAGTTCTGTGCTACATCCAGGAAATGGGGGCATTTGCAGAGCGGCCCCAGTCCTGGGAGAGAGCTCTTGAGAGCTGCAAAGCTGCTACCTTCAAAGGGTCGATGTGAAAGCAAAGAAAGAAGCACTTGAGGAGAGAGGATTTCCCTCCAGAGAGGGACAGCACTTCCAGCCCATCACCCACAACGCTAGCTGCAGAGATGTATGTGGAGTGTGTGTGTGTGTGTGTGTGTGTGTGTGTGTGTGTGCGCGCATGCGTGCATGCATGCCCAGCACACAGAACATCCCCAAGCTCCACAGCTCTCAGAACTTAAGCCCCCGTGCAGATAGCCAGTGCTCCACTCCAGAGAGTATTAGACTCTAACTTTTGTTTCTATTGCCAGTGCCTCCCAATATAATTCTGTTTCTCTGAAAAGTTTTCCCTGACTTACCCCTCTAGCTTCTTATGTTTTTTTTTTTAATGAAATCCATCACTGTCTGTGTCATAGTTTTCAAATACAACTGATATTTAGGGGTCTTTCCTGGTGGTACAGGGGTTAAAGTCTCAGCACTATCAAGCTTTCTGCAGCCACTGCAGCATGAGTTCAATGCCCGGCCAGGGAGCTGACCCATATGGCACAGCAGACCTCTCTTGGTGTGCCCACTGCTCCCCTCAGCAGTGTTTTTCAGTAGATCTGCCTGTTCTGTTTCCCGTTCTGTCTCTGGTGAATCCTCTTACCCCCACACCTCTGGCCTACACCCCAGTTCTTGTATGCATAATTAATGAAAATAAATCTTAAAAAAATACAACTGATTTTAGGTAATTTGATAAATTATCTTAAATCATTTTCAGATGCATGGACTCTCCCATTCCATTTGTAAGCACCCTCAAGGCAAAGGTTTTCCTTTGTAAACTTCTCCACTGGATTTCTTAGGATAGAATTCTCAGTGTGCTCATTGTCTGAACACATTTTCATATGCGGAGAGCCCTTGGATGCTGATTTTCTTTCATTCATTAATTTATTTAAAATATTTACTGAGACCTATTATGTGGTAGGCACTGTGCTGGGGATTCAGTGTGGAAGCTCTCAGTCTGGGGCAGAGCTGGAAACGTACACAAATAACTATACCACAATGTGATAAGTGCTATAATATAGGTACTGTATGCGCAGAGTGCTATAGGAACTCAGGAGGGAGCTTATAAAATAATTTAGTTAATGTTCCAATGTCTAAATGTTTAAATAATTCCTTTCCTTTCTAAGTGCTTCCTGGGTTCTGTGGCATTTTTCACGTCCATTATCTTATTTGATGCTTCTAGTGATCTTGTTAATAAGCTTTTGCTCCATAAACTCACCCTTACACAGGATAGGTGCTCAAGAAATATCTACAGAGAGGAAAAAATAGGTGAAAAGAGAGTGGATATTATTATCTCTACTTCACAAATAGGTAAGCTGAACGTCAATCAATGATAGTGCTGGAGGTTATAGGCAAGCATGCAGGCAGTCCGTATAAATAAATACCAAACCCAGCAGTCCATATAAATACACATTAATGCATATCAATCCCAGGAAGTCCATATAAATACACATTAATACATTTCAAACTGTGCAGTCCGTATAAATGTACATTAATACATATCAAACCAGGCAGTCCACATAAATACACATTAATACATGTTAAGTCCAGGTAGTCCATATGGATATATATTAATACATACTGAACCGAGGCAGTCTATATAAATACATATTAAACACCTACTGCATGAGGGTCACTATCCACCATGGTACAGTGGATACAAAAAAAGTACAAGACATGTTCCTCCCTTGTGAAGCTTCCAGCCTCATTAGTAAAACAGAACATAAACTATGAATAGCTAAATGGTGTTATAGGAGATGGAGAGCATCTCAAATGACAGTACAAAGTCCAACATTGTCACCAAATGAATGGTGTAGACCAGAAAGGCCACAGGAGGCAGGAGTGGTCCGTGTAGATCGGGGAGTGCAGGAAGACTTCACATGAGAAGTGGGAATTGAGCTGGATCTTAAAGGATGGACTGCTGGAAACAGAATAGAGGAAAATGAGAAGGGGTAGAACACACAAGACATTCACAGAAGGAAAACCCGACGGCTCGTGAGCACTTTATCCACATCCTACAGGGAGCCAGTTATCCCAGAGGAAGTCCATCCCTGCTCCTGGCTCAGTGTCAGCTCTTTATTGCCTGCAAATTCTCCTTATACTGCTCTGCACCTCCACTGCTATCTGCCCTCTCATCTCTTACTAGTTACTTCCCCCTCCGTCTTCCTCCCCTCCTTTGTGACCCATCTACACACACTGCTTTGAGAAAAAGCAAAACCCCTGTATGTTCAACTTCATCACCAGTCCACTCTCTTTCTGTGTGTAATAAAAACCCTGATCAGAGCTCCCTGAGGTCCTGGATTCCTCTGCTGTCGTCACGCTGGGAGGTTCTTATTCTCTACTATTATGTGTAAACAAGGACCTGGGGCCACTTTCTATTACTTCCCTGGTTCTGTTTCTAGAACTATTCTTTTCTTCCTTTTTATGGAAATTCTTCTTCCTCTTTTGTGGAAACATCCCATCATAATTTGGGCTCACAGCATCTGCTAGGACCTCTTTCTACATTTTTTTTACTGTTATCTACCAATTCCCAGGCCACATATGAGACATGATGCAAAAGATAATATTGTGCTTAGAGATGAGGTAACTGACTTTTGGGGGTGTTTTCTCAATCCATGATCACCCTGTTCTTTGACAACTGTCTGACATGGTCCAGATGCTGTGTTTGTGTCATTTGGCCTAGATCTCTTGTCCATAGGTGAGAAGACCAGTATAGACTCACGATCCAGTTGGGCTAGTTCAGCCTCCCCCAGCAATTGAGAAAGGAATGGAGACTGGGTTCAGACTAAGCTCGTCCCTGGAAAAAAGAAGGAGTAAACAGGTGAACTTAGCTGTCAGTAACTGATAATCACATGTGCCAGATGAAGGG